TAAGTACCTTTTAAAGCACTTTATAAAATAAAATAATATGTTTGGAATATACAATTACACAAGACATTTAAATATAAAAAGCCACTATAAACTGTGATAATTAACATCCTGCAGGAAGATAACAGTGGTTCTTTACATTCACAGCCTACAGAATAAGACATATTTTACAATATTATGTTGTCTGTACAAAATAAACACACACTTTATCATAAATATCAATATTTGCTAAGATATTTTAACTCAAAAACATTATTGTGGCACATCAGTAAAACATGTAATACAAATATCTAAAGGAGGCATTAGAAATCAATAAGCTGATTTATTTCTAAAGAATTAAGCCTATCTGCATATTTTTAACACGTTATTTTAAAAACTTATGTAAATTAACTGTACACTTAATATAAACTGGGTTGAGACTGTAATCAGATACAACTACTAATATATGAGTATCACAATATTAAAGTAACTTTCTGTCACTTCTGGATTTCCTTAAACATTTATAAAACTTTACTTTTAAAGAAAAACTTTTAATGAAGCGAATTCCAGCTGTGAAGATAGTTTCACATCATATCCTGATTACAGTAAACACATTTTATTTATTTCATCTGAATTACTATTTTAGTAAAAAAGAATGACATAAGAAAGAAATTATGTGAAATACACACATTTACATATGTAATAGTTATAGTATTAGGTATTTTATAATATCTGAGTATTTGATTCACTTCTGTGAAGGAAAGTAAATTAAAAACACAGAATTTGTCGGAATAAAAGCCTATTAAATCTGTATGATTGTTAGAAATGATTAAAAAAATACACAATACAGACAGATGATCACAAATTTTACACAAACGTTTCACAGTTTTTAATAAAATATGAAATATCCATAAAAAAATTTCACTTATTAATGATAGAAAATGTCTCCCTTAAGGAAAACTCATATAAATGATGAGACATTCAGATTTACTGACAAAGAATACAATTTGTCAACACAGACACAGAGACCAAATATGGTCATACCGGAAAAAAGGTGCGTCGCCCCCCCCCTTACGGTACTTATGCAAATTAGCGTGACGTCATGAGACTATTTGTCTTTATATTCATTTTTAAAACAACCATTAAAGAAAAAAGGGGGGGATTTAAAATCTATAATCAGCTTTACATCGATAAGTTCACTTTGAGTGGCGCTCGTGTCTGTTTCGACTCCTTTACCTTTGAGTGCGCGCGCTCGGTGAGTCTCCTCAAACAGGTTAGACTGGTAGGAGGAAGAGGAGGAGGAGGAGGAGGAGGAGGAGGAGACACACACCTGTAGAGAGAAAAAGGGAACCCTGTGCACTCAGTCGCCATTCTTTCCTCCATCTTTGTCCTCTGCGGACAGAAAACCAGCGACAGGAAACTTACTTTTTATTTCTTCATTCGTTTGTTTTTAAATTAATTTTTCATCATGAAGTTGTGGATTTGTCTCGTCCTCGCCTCGTTGGCGGCGGCAGCCTCAGCTCAAACCTGTAAGTAGTTGTTTGATTGTTCTTCTCTCGAAAACTTTCTGAAGCAAAAAAATAAAATACAATATTTCTGAGTTTAAGTCGCTTAAATATGATTTTTTTTAATTCTATTTAATGCGCTTTAATGCTTCACACCACCGCGGGAATATTCCTTTGGGGTGTTTCCTGCCAGACTGAAACTCCCTAACCTCCAGAGTAAATGTTAGAGGCTTTAAAATGACTTAATGAGGCATTGTGGGATTGAAAGCGGTTTGAATTTGCTGCAGTTTCAGGTTGTGGAGTGAGAGTGGGGGTGGGGAGGATTAGTGGCGCTCTCTGGGGACATTGTCTGTTTGAGAAACCAACGCCCAGGTGTTGGATAAACCTGCTAGTCTACCTGTCCCCTTCCTGTTTCCAGGCCTGTGTCTGACTCCATTCTGCACACACTGCAGGCCTTTATGTTCTCTAACTCTATCACACTGGAATGCAGAAGCATTACATATTGATATTGATCAATATCGATACTGTTCATTTAACCCTTGTGTGTCTCTGCTTAAGGTCAATGTGACGTGTTGAAGTGGGCCTCCTGTGATGGGACTCCATGTGAGTGCACCATCTTTGTCGCCAAAGGCGAGAAACAACCGATCAACTGCAACAAACGTAAGTATAAGACATGTTGTAGACTTCCATTTGCCGGCGCGGGGTTTGTTTTGTTTCCTGCCTCACGATGTCACCCTCTCTGCTTCTGCCTCCAGTGATCCCCAAGTGCTTCCTGATGAAGCTCGAGATGTACAGAGCCAGCATGAACCTGAGCACCCGCACGGGCATCGGAGGAAAGCCTGTGGAGACCGCCTTCGTGGACAATGACGGCATCTACAACCCGGAGTGCGAGCGCGACGGCAAGTTCAAGGCCAAGCAGTGCAACAACACCGAGGAGTGCTGGTGTGTCAACAGCGCAGGCGTCCGTCGTACCGACAAGGGAGACAAGAACATCAAGTGCGAGGAGCTCGTGGAGACCCAGTGAGTATTTCAGGATCAGGGCGGAGGAGGAGGAGGTTTTAGATGCGTGATGCTCAGATCTTCACCCTCTTTTTTTTGTCTTAATTTTTCTCCAGCTGGGTTCGTCTTCAGCTGACACACAAACCAGTGCAAGGTGAAGTGAATGCTGAAAAATTGAAGGCGTAAGTTTATTAAATATATTCCCTATTTTTATACATATTTAAAAAAAAAAGAGGCAATAAGCTAATAAGTATCATTTCTTACAGTGCCATTGCGGACGCCATTAACAAACGTTACAAAAACTTTAACACGTCTATGGTGGAAGAAATCCAGGTGAGTGGAGGGAAAAAAAAAAAACCATCATTTAAATAAAAAAATCACTCGACTAACGAAGCATCCTGTGTCTTCCTGCAGTATGACCCCGAAGCCCGGCTCATTGTGGTGGATGTGAAGAAGGAAATAGGTGAACGCCAGACTGACCTGACCCATATGGCGTACTACATGGAGAAAGATGTACGTTGAGATGTTTTGTATTTTTATGTATAGACGATACACGGCTGTCGATTCCCTGACTGACCAACCCTTTTCCTCTCCTCCTCCTCGCAGGTGAAGGTGCTGCCCCTCTTCAAAGACGAAGGGAACAAGTTTGCGCCGGTGGTGGATGGCCAGAAGCTGGATATGGAGAAGATCCTGGTGTACTACGTGGACGAGAAGCCCCCGACGTTCACCATGAAGCACCTGTCGGGCGGGATCATCGCCGTCATCGTGGTGGTGGTGCTGGCTGTGGTTGCCGGCCTGCTGGTCCTGGTGAGTCCATGTTTCTTCTCTACCTTTTGTAAGTGTTTGGTTTAATGTTCTCAGTCAGTTTGAGGCCTAACTCTCTGTTTGTGTGTGCAGTTCTTTGCCAGGCGGCGAGAGAAGCAGCAGTACAACAAAGCTCAGGTGAGATGAACTTCCTTTCTGGGTACAACTAGTTAATTTTTTTACTGTAAAACTGCTGTTTAACAACCTGTTTTTTTTCTTTTTTTTTTTCTTCATCATGCAGCAGAGAGAGCTGGACCCCATGTAAACTCTTCATCGCAGACTATGAAGATTAACTTTTCTTGCAGTGGGAGTGTGCCATTATCACCATTTTACTTGAGTAACACAAATTGTAAAGGAACAATCAGCTTGCTTTTGTTTTTTTTCCTCTCCATGTTGTTGGCAATACCGGTACGGCCATTTTATTTATAAATTGTGTAAAGTCCTAACGCGTCATCCAATCTATATGCCATAAAGATCTTTTTAAAAATATGCCTGGCACATTTTTATGTTTAGAACTTGTTGAATGGTTTTTAAATTCCATGTCATAGATTGTACAGTTTCTTTCTTACTAATGTGTTTGTTGGATTGTTTTTAATAAAATGTTTTAAAAGACTGATTGTGTCGCAGGTTTATTTGCATTGTTTTTTTGTCTAAGTGACTCAGTGGAAAAGTACTTTAACGGGGGATGGGAAGGTAGAGGAAGTCGCTGGGGGCACCATTTTGTTTTACTGCTTGACATGCAAGTGTTCTCCAGACCCGACACAAGCCTTGTCTCATGTGAAATGGCTGCTTTGTTAATAGTAATAAGCCTTTTGTTTACATGGGACCGGCTGAATGGAGGGTCATGGGTGTGGCAGCCTTGTTTTGAATATGCCACTGTCCTGGTTTTCCTTTTGATGGAAACTTTAATCTATGCTTCTCATCAAACGTAGACAATATCTCCTCTAGCTGTAGTGAAAGAAGTGTTTGAGCTGTGGAATGTGTGTTTAAGTATTGGTGATACTGGCTCACCTGAGACTACCTTGCTATATGACAACACCTGTTAGAAGGAGAGAGGTTAATCATTTCGAAGCTGTTTCTCTGAAAACCGCCTGGCATCGCGCTCAACCTGTCGGTCAGGTTCTGGCTTCGTTGTGATTGGACACATGAAGTATGTACACAACATGAATGCTGAGAGACTGGAGCAGTAGTTGGGTGAAAAGTCAGTCCAAAAAGTCCAGTGTCGCTGAAGCAGCATAAAAAGAGTGGGGTGGGGAACTGGAAACGGGTCTTGTGGCACTGAGCAGAAACGGAGGTGAAACTCGCTCTGTATCCTGTCACAACATGATCAGTGTTCACTGAGGCTGCGCTCTAGCTGAAGGCAGTCCCTGTTTAACCTTTACGTCACAGTGAGGTCCCGCTGAAGGTTGAAACTCTTTATTTTTCACGCTATGCAATGAGAACAATGTATTCTAGATGTTTAACTTTATTTTGAAAGTACATATGAGCAACACTTTAATTTACAGAGATGAATACAGACTTCCTGTTTGGCTTGTTGCCACAGTTTTGATATTTGTCTTATCAATCATTTGTCTAACTTCCCTTGCCTCACCCACTTTTTTCTCCCCCGCCACCCCTCCCCCTGCATCTCCATAGCAACACGGGGACAAAAGCATGCTTCTAACTAGTTCAGACAGGTTAGGTATCATATATCCTTCCCCCTCCCCCTCCTCTCTCTCTCTCCCTGTGAAACACTATAGGAATGAAGGTGTGTCACTAGCCGTCAGGCACCTGCTGCAGGTATCAACACGTCATTTACGCTCACGCCAATGAGGAAGCAGGACGCCGTCTTTCTGGTGAAGGTGAGGAAAACATGGAGTGTTATGGTTTCTACAGCTTCCCACGAAGGCGTTGATCATCCGTATGAAGGGATAAAAAAAGCTGCTTGTCACAGGTTTTCTGTAGTTTATTCAAGCATTAGACTTGCACAATAATTATATTCCAAGGATGATTTCATATGACAAATAAATATAACACCTGACAATACTCGCTCTGTACAGGGTTAAGATAATACTGGGAGGGGGGAAAAGTACCTTAGATTAAAAAAAGTCCTGTTTTTCCAGTTAAAGTTAAATGGGTCACCACAGTATATCTGACCCCGCTTTTATTATTCTGTCTAAGAAAACAGAAAACACTTTATTCCTTTATTCCCAATCCTCTTCTTCTAAATGTACACAAACACAGAGTTTATCCCCTCTTTCATACCCTAACTCTGCTCTCTTTCTAATGTCATGTGAAATATAAAGAGGACGCAGTATATGTATATCTGACCCTGCTGCTTCATTACTTCATTATTCTTTCAGTAACAATACCAAACTTCTCCTTCATCAAACCACCAAACCATTACCACATCCTCTTACCCTCTTCCTTTTAATGAACATACACAACCACATTATCTACCCCTCTCATAACACTTCTCTTTGTAATGTCATGTGAAATATACTGAGGAGGCATCTTGCTGAAAGGTTTGTACTTGATTAAAGTTTCACTACTCTCCTGGCTATTCAGTAACTAAGAGCACACAGGGTCCAAACTGGTTTCCCCTTATGAACGTCATTCACACCCTTTGCACTGCAAACTGCGGGCAGTTGCTTCATACGCATTTTCATATTTAAACGAGTCTTTAACACAACTTCTGTATGACTGTGGATAATTTTTTAAGGCGAAAATAATAAAATGAACTTAAATCAGCGTCTTTACAAAAGGGAACGTACCACACACCCTGAACACACAGGTGAATGAGACACCTCAGCTCGGTCGGTCAATAAATGCTGTTGACTTTTTCTCTTTGGAGTCAGCACTTAAAAGCAACACATTCATCATCATTTGTTGTTTCTAGACACCTTTGTACCTTGTTTATACAACCCACGGCTCCAGTTTCAGACCCAAAATGTCACACGTTCTCTGAGGAAGGCACTTTTCAGGAGCTTAAATCCTGAATGAGGAACCGCTGCACCCTCACCAGAAATTCACCACAATTTAATCTGACCCCATCAGACAAACCTACAGGATTTGGCTGATAAGAAAGAAAGGCTGTGCGACTGGAATCAGCTGCTGTCATTTCAAATTCAAGCGGAGATTTCTCAGCGAGAAGGCGTGATGTTTTTTCACAGCAGCGTGGGGGCCTTGCTGGGGCGACCCAGGGCTGGCGGGGACTTGCTCCTCAGCTCTTTGCTCTTCAGACTGATGGGCTGGGCAACCATGAGAGCCGGGGCGGAGAGGTGGTGGGCGGCGGCCTTCTGCTGGTGAGCGCTGTTGATGTAACTGGAGATGAGGAGGGTGATCTCCCTGATCTGTGGATGGAAGCAGAGCGGAAAGCGACGTCAGTGCGTGTATTCACCCTTATTATGGTGTGTTTCTGCTGATCAAGACACCTGAAGATTTGCAATATTTGTCACTTTAGAATACTTTAATGTCATAGACACACAAGTGGTTCCTCAAGGGGGCAACAATACTGATACTTGTCATTTTGTTGAATATGACCTGTCACTTACCTTTGAGACGTCCATAGCAAACAGATGTTTCTCCGTAGGTTTGTCTTTGCTCGTGTTGGAACCGATGCTCTGTCTCACAACCAGCATGAAGTCCTGTTTGCAGCCTCCAAACGTCATCAGGTTCTTGTAGGGGTGGGACACCAGCGGTTTCTGAACACACGTATTTATATCACGATAATGTTTCTGCTCTGATAAAGAAAACAACTAAACTCACCCGACTAACCCCCATATATTGTATTCTTGTTTACATCTTCATATGTGAGCTCAGAGTTCCCACGTCTTAGTGCAACTAATGCAATGTGCATTTAAAGATATAAAGCCAGTCACACTGCATTAACTGAGCTAAATTACATAAACAAGTGATTTGCGACCACAATAGAAATCCAAGGTACAATATGTGCTTATTGCTTATCTTCACAGGTTGCATGAATACCACCTCTGTTCTCAGTAACTTTAAACAGGAAAGTCAAGTCAATAAAGGGAAGAAATCATGTCAACAGCTGCAGGGAGTTACACAGAAATGTACTCAGAGACACTTACAACAGAGTTGTGCTCCAGAACACTGATACCATCTTCATGCACAGCCAGCCAAACACGGACACGCTGCTCTGGAGACGGCGTGATGGACTGAAAACCAGAACCAGAGACAGGAAGTGAGATAAATAAATCTTAAATACATTTTCAAAAAAGTTAACATGATAAGACGCTAGAATTTATTCTGGCTCCCTGTAAAATTTAGAATAGAATTTAAAACCTCCTCCTCACCTATAAAGCTCTTCAATGGTCAGGCCCCTTCATATCTCAAAGAGCTCATAGTAACCCTATTACCCCTCTAGAACAACTGCGTTCTCTGAATGCTGGGCTACTTGGGTTCCTATAGTCTCTAAAAGTAAAAACGGAGCCAGAGCCTTAATTACCAAGCTCCTCTCCCTGTGGAACCAGCTTCCAGTTGGGTTCTGGAGGCAGACACCTCTCCACATTTAAGAGTAGCAAATGGCATACTAACATGCAGCATAGGTATACACACAACAACAAAAGGAAGAGAAAAATAATAATCATATAATCAGCCCTGAAGTGAAATGTATAAGATAAATTCACTCACCTACAGCAACTCCAGACAACAACACAGATAAGAAAATACACATAATACAGAAACAGAATAGAAAAATACATATAATGAAAATCTAATAATAATAATAATAATAATAAGAGTTGTATTTACATATGGATGCACAAAATACATATATAGCAGTATAGTTGGGCTATGAATATAAAGTACAGGTCTAATACTAATAATGTGCGTGTAGGAAATGATATAAATACATGTATGTGAAACTGTACAGTACGAGAGTGCATTCGAATATTAAATGGTGCAGCTGCTCAGGGACATATCACAGTGTCCTCACTGAACCGGGGACTGAATGTTTTGGATTGAATTTATTAAAGATGGTGGACTATAATTCTTTCAGGACATTTCATCTCAAGTACGACAATCACTGTAATTCAATCAACCTGCAGCGTGTGCTGTTCACCGCACCACAGCCTCAGCTCTGAAATCCCTCATCATGTTTTATCAAAAGTAAAATGTTCACGTACAGTACAGTCAGTTTTTGTTGATTCTGTATTCTGTTAGCTGTTCTGAAGATCTGAGCGCATAAAACATTGTACAGAGACTTTATTTAGTTTGTACGTTGCCCTTTGTTTGTTCGACACTGTATCGTTTCTTTAACGTGAGAGCAAATAACTCGGCTGATGATAACACAGTTCACCTACTTCTGCTTCGAACAGTTTGGCGCCAAAGAAAGGCCACTTCCTGGCAACGGTCAGGTAGATCCTGACACACTCTGGTGAACTTCGACCCCTGAGGGAGGCCCAGCGGGCGGAGAGACGCTGCAGCAGTTGTCTGAGAGGAAGGAGCCAGAAAATTCATTTGATTACCACAATCTGTCAGGACAACAGTGTTCATTTTGAATCTGGTTGCGATGCATTCAAAGACTCCTGTTGGTTAATTCTACCTCCTCCTGACTAAATAAATATAATATAAATATAATCTAATGTTTCCACAGCATGAGAGATCTGATTGGACTGGGTGAGCATGGATGTATGCTCAGGACGATGACGGGAAATTAAGGGGTTAACTGCTGAACAGCTTCCTGTCATGTAAAACTAAAGTTTATGACTGTGATTGCAGATCATAACAATATAACTGAGTTCATATGCAAAAGAGGGAGAATTTACGGTACGATGTTATTGCCTTAAAAAACACTCAGATACATTTATCCTGGAGGATAGCGTTAGATAGATACATATAGTCCTTATCAAACAATACATATTCATTAAAAAATGTTGAGGATAAACACAATAAGGTTGGAAAAATAACTTGACTATAACTGACTGCAGATGTGATGGAGGAAAAAAACATTCTGTAAGTTATTATAATAAGAAACACGCTAAAGTTTGCACAGAATACAGAGTTTATCTTTATGGATTATATTGATTCCGAATTGATAACTAGACCGACGACAAATAAAGTCCTGTATCTCGTGTTTGTAGAGTTACCTGTTTTTAAGGACACATTAGGAATTGTTAAAATGTGATATTTCTTATAGGGAGTTTGGTGCAGGTAGCTTTTAATTGGAATTTCTTTTTCTGATCTGCGATGCAATAAAAATATTTGTTCCTGCAACATGTGAAATATGATTTAGTGTCATTGTAAGAGTTTCAAGTATAATAATCATATGGTAATAATCATGCGTACCTGAGCTGCTCCTCAGATGTGGTCCGGCGGTAATGTTTAGGGTAGAATCTCTCCAGAACCTGTTTCAGGGTTTGGTTAGACTTGGTCGGGGCTGATCCAGGAGCAGAGAAGGGACGCTCAAAATCCCCAAACTCCACCTGAACACAGACACATATAAGTGTTAAACTATCTAAGAGTTTGTTGCTACTCCTTCTTCCATTAAAGGCAGCACAAACTGTTCAAAGATGTTTTTAACTTTTCAGACCTGGGCCAGCAGGGCAGCCATCTCCAGAGCCAGCTCCTTGTTGACGGGGAAGTGTCCCGCTACGATGGCCTCATTTGTCTGATAAGCCAACAGCAACCTCTCCCTCTCTGACTCCCCCCTGACCTGGGGAGAGAAGTAGAGCCTGGGGAGGGAAAGATGAATACGAGAGGTAGTAAAAGTGAAACAGAAGCAGATAGAAGGAGAGATGTTGGGAAATAATGGATGGAACATAATTGAACTTCCTCTGTTTGCTTGTGTTCTATTTCTAGAACAAAGTAAAGACACATTCATTCCTGAGTACATTTCTCTGTAAGATAAAAGCCTTTAACAAAAGGCTCTACCTGTTCTTGTAGGTGAGGCGGACCGTCCGGGTGTTTTCAGACTTGCCGGTGTGCTGCTCCTTCGAGGCTAGCTCCCACTTGGAGATAATGTCACAAATCTGCAGCTCGTATGAAGAAGACAAGATTTGTGTTAAGAAAATTGAACACTTCATAATAAAAATAATCATCCGGTGAATGAAAAGAAGCACCTTGATGCCTCCTTGCAGGCAGTGCTCCAGCTCTCGTCCAGTGGGGTCGTCAGTGTACAGGCTGAAACCAGACAGCCCCGTCTTCCTCATGCCGGTGTCCTGGTTGAGGCGACACTGGAACTCGTCCACTGTGGTCGAAGCATCGAAGCTCACCACCTGTGGGAATGTGATAAAATGCAGAAGATGACAGGGTTTCCACTCTTTTTAAGAAATCTTTTTCCAGGAGCTTTCCAGGACATTTGACTTGAGATATCTTGCTCATAAACAGTCATATCATGTACTTTGTAGGCCTAGCGTTTTAGCGACTTTGACTCCAGTTTTATGCCTAATTTTTTAACGATGAAGTGTCTCAGGTTCATTACGACACTGAAAGGTTTGTTCTGCTTGGCAGAGTTTGTTTGTATACTCTAGATTAAAGAGAGGTGTTTAAGTGCTTCTCTTTTTAGAATCCTAAAAAGATATTTATCATTCTCACTGAAAAAAATTGTCAATAACTACTTATTTCTGTCCAACAGTGCTGCAGGACCGGGCAGGAGAAGGAAAGATGATCGGCTTCTAGCAGCCTGGTGTTGCCTCCTTACAGTACTTTGCTTGGACAATAATAGCTATTATGACGAAACATAGTTGAATTTCCAGAGCATATTCTCTCCTAAATAATGAAGTTGTAGTTTTCCATGCATTGTAAACTTACGTCCTTCCATAAGTTTATGTTTTATGTGTCTTATGTAAGCATCTAGGCTATGATGTCAGGACTTTCTGCACCGACTGGGAGGGACCAAAAACACAAACACCCCTGCAGAGGAAACCCTGACTCAGAGCGTACAGATAGATGGTGGAGCAGTCAAGCATGAGAGCATGACGGATAAACACTGGATGCATGTGTGTTAACAGTGTGTGACTCGAGGCTTTGATGTAAGAGACTCAATCTGTCAGCGTGAGGTGAGGTGTTGTTACCTGGTAGGTGCTATTGAGGAAGTGAACAGGCACACTGAATGGCAGGGAGTGATGATAGGGATTCCTCAGCAGGATGGACAGGATCTCCATACGGGACGGCCTGGCCTGCCTCTCGCCCTTCTGCTGGGTCCGCTCCATGGAGCGCTGGCAGTAGATGGCGTACTTACCCACCTCGGTCCTGACAACAGAGACGATGAGACGGCGTATAAGTGGTGTGTACATCATACCATCACCTTCTTCACAAGTTTACTAAATGTTAAATTAAGTTAGTGTTCACCATTTATCTATGTTAATATATGTATGGAGAATCATTTTAATTTAGGAGCTTAAGGAGTGCTTTAAAAAATATAATTAAATATTTATAATAAATACCAAAATGACAACATAACAGCAGAATAGAAGCCTCCAAAAATACAAATAAAATATGTACAATAAGGCAAAAAAAATCTTGTCCGGGGAATCTGCAAGTTAACAGTGACACAGGATGATATTTTCAATGTGCAAGATAAAATCCAAGCGAAGTGCATTAATGGAGCACATATATTCAGGGAGGGTGGTGGAAGTCAGTGGCAGTTGCAACATTATCTTTATTAAAAAATATATATATATGATATATATATAGATATCTAATTAGCAAAGATTCATGGATCTCAATATAATAATACGATTTTATCTGGTGAACATTATTATGGTAAAATAATTGTACATTTCTATCAATATTGTATTTCAGCTGCTTGAATGTTGTATTTATATATATTTTTCTCTTTTTATTATATTTATAAGGGGGAGCCATTGTTCACATCAAACCTCTCCTGCTTTATATATACACTGCATGTGCAAATAAAAACGTTTAAAATAACTGTGGGGTTGTAGACCTACAAAGTACATGACATTTGTGTTTCTAAACTACTGTGTTTTCCACAGTTACTGTATGTTGTCCTTTGTGACGTTTAGCGCCTTGGTTCTTCGTGCTATCGTTCTCTCACCTGGAGTCGGCGTGTCTGTTGAGGTGAACCTGGAGCAGCCAGAGGAACGGGTGCTGAGGCAGAAACAGGCCCACACACAGGGCGAGAAACTGCCAGCCCTAAAGAATGACACACACACACACACACACACACACAGTCACAAATGGGTCAGGTGGTTCTCAACCTCCGGGTCGGGACCTCCACTGGTGGTCGCTAAAGCTTTACATACCTTCCTGATTTTAAGGCGTGCTAGAAAATGTTAAAAATATACACAGTGTCTCAGCATTTGGTTCACTTCTGTGGAGAAAAATAGATGTAGATTGTCTGATAGAACAATGGTCAAGTGTCTGGGAGAAGAAAACACTGAATCTGTCAGAAAAGAAGCTTATTAAGTCCGTATGATTGTTTTTAAATTAAATAAATATATGATACAGACAGAGAATTGTATGAAAAGTCCAAAACAGGAAATAATCTGCCCATAATTTATCCAAATCTCTCGTTTTACACAAACTTCCTGCAGTTACTGAGTTCACTGTTTGGGTTCATTGAACAGTTTTGAATTAATATAAAATATCCATAAAATATGTCACTGAGTCAGATTACTGAATGATAGAAAAAGGAAGGAAACACCAGTGGATCAGGAAGTTGTCTGTATAGAAAGCTTCAGACAGTTCCTCCTTTGATTCTGTTAATCAGCATCACTGAGTTCACTTGTGTTCACACAAAGGAGCTGCTGGGTTCTGTTATGACGCATTCTGTTGTCTCTTAATCCTAAAACATGATCACACTTCACACTTCATTTAACTTTACTGTAAATTCCCACTATATTCTGTTAAAGGAGGAGTAAAAACTCCTTTGGTCCTTGTGCAATAACCCTGCTTAGCATATTTTTTTAGCATTTGCACTTGTAATTGCAGCATTGTTGTTGTTGCATTATTGTGGGCTGTGTATTGTATGGACAGGAATCTTTTTGTTTTTGTCTGTACTTGTACTTTGTCTGTTCTCCCTCTGCTGGTGTTTCTGGTATATCTGGTTATTGCATATGTGACTTCAGGTTGACAGCTGATGGAAAGTTTCTGGTTTTTAAAAGCAGGAGTTGATTTCAGTCTCTTTTTTGAGATGAACTTTTCAGGACTTTCTCTAACATAAAAGCTTTTGGTAAACAACATAAGGGAGAGAAAAGACTCTCCAAAGTACAGTTTAGAACATTTTCAGACACCCTGTACTTCTGGTGGCTTCCAGTCAGCAACGTGTGCTGCTGCTGCCATCGTGTGGTGAGGATGCCAACCTGCAGGGGTCCTGGATGGCCGTGTGGCTGCCTCCTGCGGGTCTGCTTGATGAGCTGGCAGAAAAACTCATTCTGGAGCTCGGGGTGGGCCAGACACACCTGCAGGGCACTCTGGGCCAGTGAGACGTGGTAGTCGATGGCTGGAGCGTCGATGGCCACGTTGATGAACAGCTGACACGTCTGAGGAGAGAGGGGATGAAGGAGGAGGAGGAGGAGGAGAAGAGATCATCTGTGCCCATGATACATTGTTTAGATTTAAGCTACAGGAAACTTTAACCTGTTATTAACACAGATTACAGATTTACTTGAGTTACATGTGCAGCACAAGGCTCTAAAGTCTGGTCAAAGAATGTATTCCATGTGGTTGTAAAATATAACATTTTCTTAAATATCTCAGGATTATTTGTGCACATAGTTGAGAGCAGCTTTAAGTCAAGTCCCCTTTTGGATGAAAGCCTCTAATGTAGGAGTTTATTGCCAATTTAATGCCATAAAATAAGAATGCCAGACTGTTTTTTAGCTATTAGGAGCCAAAGTTGATCGGTGTCACCACTCTTATATTTCTGACATCTGTCACTGTTTCTGGAGTTAAGACTTATTTTTCTGTTTTGGTCGCCTGTCCGACGTATACTAATTTCATCGCTGTGGTGAAGCAAATCCGACGTTTGTGTTTATTAATAAACCTTTTACTACGAGCTGACAGAAGAGGAAAACAGTTTAGTTTTATCTCCACTTCCTTTGTTGCTTTCTGCTGTTTACAAGGTTCATTATTAAAAGGTATGTCAGCTCAGTTTATGTGAATTATTAAGGTTAAAATACCCTCTGCTCCACACTGTCAAACCAAACTCCATTCTAAAAACAGCTGTTTTATTGAGAGGACTGTAAAAACTTTATTTCCACCATCACTGAGACTCTTTGCGAGAGCGTTTGACACAGATACACATATTGGCTGTCCAGGTCCCTCGGTTTACCTTTTTCATTCTCTCTGCATATGGCCTAAAGCCACAGATCTCCTCTTTTACTGTCCTTCATTCTTTGGGGAAGTAAAGAAAACTGTAAACTTTTTTATTGTTTGTTTCTTCCAGGCATAGTACCACTATTTACAGCGCCTATTTCACCCAAAAGGGGCCTTCTGTTTTCTCATCTACAGAGGCTTGTGGACAAAAACTGCATATCAATGCTATGCATATGTGTGTATATGGGTGTGTGTGTGTGTCGTGTGTGTGTGTGCTGTGTGTGTGTGTGTGTGCTAATTGTGTGTTACTTCTTAAAGAGTTTTAACAGCCTTCTGTCTGCAGAGCTTGGTGACATGCACGTTAGGTATATAGAGGAGACGTCAGAGCATTCCTTACTGAAACACAACATTAGGAGATGTCTCCAGCTCTGAGAATTCTGAAAGGACAAAGAGGCAGAAGAGATGACTGTGGTGAAATGGTGCTCCACACAAAAGGGAAAAAAAGAAATTTTTCCTAGAATTTCCTTTATAAGAAATCTAGTAAAATAGTTGGAACAGACATGGCAAGGTTTCCACTCTTTAAGAAATAATTTTCCAGGACTTTTCCAGGTCCATTTTCCTGGAGTTGTTCTTGACAATTTAGGACAACACTTGCTCACATTGGTGGTCAGTATTTATGGGACCTTAGCTCTCCTTCATGGCACGCTTGGCTGTTCTCGCCACAGCCAAGTGAGTGGAGCTAAAGCCTCCGGTGAATTGACTACAGTTTTCCTCGAACTGTAACATTAACTTGGCCACAGCTCATAAAAAACAATTCAAATCAGGGAGGATTTATTTTATTTTACAGCGTTAGCCTAGTGAAAGTGGAAAGAGAGTGTTGCATGTACAATTAACATCACTGTGCATGTATCAACCACAACAATGAATTAAATGTAATCATTAACAGGCTCTATGAATATCTGACCATCTACAACATTTCCAAAATAGACTTGATGCCAAAAGGTCGCTGCAAGTGGTGTAAACAGCTCAGATGATGGGATCAGATGAATTTCGGTCTGTATGTAACAGCATTTTTTTTTGCTATAGCAGTTATGATTGGGATGTATGAAACTAGCATGTCAGCTATTAGTAAAGCACGATTAAAGACACAACAGAAAAGAAATAATTAGTGGGACTCACTTGGATCTCCATCCAGCTGGAAAAGTTTTCCCACTAGTTGTTCGAACTCCGTGCCGACTTTACCCACTGTGCTCCCCGCTGCCACAGACAGATGGTACAGCCACGAGTCCTACAGACACACACACATTAACATCAGCGATACCAGAGCCTCATCAAATAAACAGACCAACAGCACAACACATTCTTACTGACAATGTGAGGACTTATGATACATTTTTAGTTTGAACCTAAATCAGCATCTTAAAGGTTTTTTTGGGCCTGTATAAAGAGTTATAATATATCCTTACAATGTTTAAAATCTACCACTAAATTCACTGCAAACCAATTTTTTGTCATCATGCAAAAACACTAAGATGGCATTGAAGTTGCATTGAACTGCGTCTTTTTGATAAGTTGCACTTAATGACAGGTAATTTAATGAGAAACTTGTGCAGGATCTTATTCATTCATTCTCTGTGGCAGGGAGGCAATTTCTTTTTATAAACCACAGCCAAAAGAAACTAGATCATTATTAGGCTGTATGCATGGAGATGATGATGAGAATTTCACTCGCTGCTCTGGAAAAAATAGACGCAATGCAGAAAAGATCACTGCAGTCAGTTCCTCTTTACATCTGGTGAACGTGCTTTAAAATGTTTATCCCACCGACAGTTGAGTTTCAAACAAGAAAATGCACCTATAGGTTTACGTATATCTGAGTGAGGGGATAAATACAAACATTTCCAGGACAACACAGATTATTTCCAGGATATTTGGTCATTTTATTCAAATTCCAGGTGTTTCCATGACTGGGAAATCTAGTGTCTAAATTTCCAGGTCTTCCAGGTTTTCCAGGACGCTGTTGTGATTGGTAAAAACACAAGCAATGTGAGACTCAAGACAGGATCTTGATAAGAGAAAACAGGCAGTCTATATTTGCCAAAATGGGTCAAAAAACAGGAAGTAAAGTAGAAGACACGAAAGGAGGAAAAGGAGGAAAACTACAAAATAAAAAAGGAAATAACCAACGGAAACCCAAAACTTATCTAACATAAATGTATCTTTCTAGCAGAGGCTGACCTTTTCGTGGCGGGACTCGATGAGCAGGTAGGTGGGGCCTTGCTCCTGCGGCTGGATGGCGATGGTGAAAGGTGCTGCCTGCAGGCCCCGCCCACATGCCTTCAGGTCGTCGTCTGAATCTCTTGACCGGTCTACCTCCTCCACCCGGGCCTCCCACAGTTTGATCTGACCCAGGGGGAACTGGGAACACACACATAAACACACACACACTCAAATAATAGTTTTCAGTACGTCACTTCAGGTAAAACATCACAGATCTTCCTCTATATTCTTTAAATATTAAGAGAGGTTTTATGTTGGATCTTACCTTGTCCTCTTGGCTGCGGAAATAGTACAAGGTTTTGCCAATCAGAGCACACCAAACCCGCTTAGAGTAGCCATGCTTCACCTGAAACAGAAGAAATAAAAACAGAGTGACAGTGTAACAGTTAACAGTTGAATATGAGGTAGAAATGTGGGTGAAATCTGTTATTGCAGACAAAACCTTGGTTAGTTATGTCTGGGTTGCAACTCTTTAAGAAATCATTTTGCAGGGCATTTTCCATGAGTTTTTCTTGACAGTAAAGCACAGGACACAAACAGTGATCACTGACACTCTTTCCAAATTGACCTTTTTCACAGCAGCCATTTTGACATGAAACAGTAGGGTAAACACAGGTCAAAACTTTTTTGCCTACAGCTTTCCTCTAACTGTAATATTAATTTAGCCACAGCACAGGATAAAATACAACTAAAATTTTCCAGGGCAACACAGAATATTTCCAGGATATTTTGTCATTTTAATCAATTTTCAGGTGTTTGCATGAAGTGTAGGGAACCCTGTATGCGGTTTGTAAAATCATATTTTTTTCAGTGCAAAGGTAAATTTAATAAGCTGTTGGACCTTGACGAGCAGTCCCTTCATGCCGGGGCGAATATCCGGCTGGGTGAAGAGAGGACTGGCAGCTTTCACCCTGAGCACGCTCTGCAGCACCCTGAGCCACTCCTCCAGCAGGTTGGGAGAGTCCGCCTTCAGGTAGTACACCCGCTTCCCCGTCACTATCTACACAATAAGGACAACACGAGTGAGAGTGAGGATGAGCGAGGGAATCAGAATCCTCTTCCTCGAGATCGGACTACATGTCATTTTGTTCGAATAGACGTTCGGATACCTGGAGAACTTGTTTTCCCTCGCCGCGAGCGATGCTGCTGGTGGCGTTGACTTCGATCTGACCCTGAGGCTTCCTGATCACATCGCTCTGTGGGAGAATGATTACGTTACACAGACACATGTTATTGTTCACGTATACATTTAATGAAACAAAATGAATGAAAAACATGTTGTATAAAACCCACAGGTGATTTATAGTAGAGCAGCTCTCCATCTTTGAGGACAAACCAGCGTCTCTTCCATGTTTTCTTCCAGGTCTTCACCATTTTCAACAGGTAGCCTGACTTCTCCATCGGTTCCTAAACAACAACACTCATCATTTATAGACTCCACAATGAATGGGTTATTAACCATTTTAACCAATTTATTTGACTTTATGTCTGAAATAAAGTGTATTTAGATTTTTATATGTGAAAAAAAACAATGCACAAGCAGAAATAAGAATATAAATAAACAAAAGTAAATGTGTAAGGGTAAGTAATGAAAGAATGTATTTTGAACGTCACTGTTTGCCTTTATTATTATTATAATCATTTTCCAATCTTTTAAAGGACCAGTGTGTAGGAGTTAGTGCCATCTAGCGGTGCCTCCCCTTCCAAGAGCAAAGAAGAAACTACTAAGGACAAAATTGTACAAGAAACTAAATCTGAACTTTTGGCAGATGCAATCTCAAACTTCACACCTTTAAAGGACTAGTGTGCAGGATTTAGTTTGGCGTCTGTATTTGATAACCTTGGAATGAGAACGAGCTGTGAAACACATGAAAAAAATGCTCCTATCTAGATGTTTGGTTTGTGTCTTGCGTCCCTGTTTGTACTTTATTTTACTGTTTCATGTTTGCCTCCAGCTCTATAGGAGTCGTGTTAAGTCACTGCTGATGAAAACTTACATTCAGGTGATCAATCTCCCACACATTTCACACTGACTCACACTCTTGCCGTTGTCACTGGCTGCAGAGCAGGTCTTTGGGAGTTTCTGCTCCGGTTCAGAGCACTCTGTGTCGGTGGAGTAGGCATCAGGAGGGATGGCGTAGTCGCTCTCTGATGTCATTGAAGACATGGACACAGCTGGAGAAGAAGAAGAAGAGGAAACAGTTGACAACGTAATATAGACTCATAAACATCCACAGGCTTCCAGTACGTGTGTGTCGTACCTCTCTTGAGAGAGCGCGGGCTGCCCGGGCTGCTGTCCTTGCGGGAGCTGGAGGAGGTGTGAGAGCTGCGGATGGAGCCGTCCTCCTCTCCTGAACTGGATGACTCCTCAGAGCTGGAGGACTCATCTGAGAACGGGCTGCTGCTCAGCAGAGTGGCTTTCTGCAAGAGCGAGACAGAGCGGTGGTCGACGCAGTATCGGTACTGTACACCAGTGGTTCCCAACCATTTTCCTTAAGGGACCCCTCTTCTATCATTGAGTAAACTGACGACTAGGACTGCCCTTGAAATGTCGATGATTCAAAGCATCAGTGGAGAATCTCTGCACTTTTGTTTTTTAGACAGCAACTTTACAAACTGAGTCTCAAAACTGAGTAAGAGACATATTCTTATGGATATTTAGATTATATTTAAGGCACAACAATAACAGTACAGAACAACTGATAAACTGTGCAATGAACCCAAACAGTGAATTTGATTGACTGATTTTGAGCAGATTATTTCCTGTAAATATTGATCAGAGATGAGTTTTCCTGATATTTTTAGGAACTTTTTATACATCTTTCTGTCTGTATTATGTATTGTTTTTATCTTACACGCCTTAAATTCAAGAAGGCCCTGTGAAGGGTCGGGAACCAGTGCTGTACAGGCTTACACAGATAATCAAAAACACAACATGAGAATGAAGAAGCGTTCAAAATGAATGTAGCAGTAAGTCCTGCAGTGCAGAGTTGCACTTACCCCCTTCAGAGTAGTGTAAACTGGTGTGGTCATGTTTTTATAGATGAGGGATGTGTACATTACAAAGGCAGGGTAGGAGGACTGGAGGGAGGGGTCTGAAACACAAATCACAGTGCAGTTAGTTAGTTTTTCAGCTGCTGATGAATCACCCCCCTTTTTTCCGTCGTCTTACCTCTGCTAGCGGGGTCTGAGCAGGACGTCTCCGACAGTCTGATTCCTGATTTAGCCACAGCGTAGATACGACTCTCCTGTGGAAGAAAAACGTGAGAAAGAGGCTGCGAAGTGTATAGGAGAAACTATACTGGGTGGCTGGGAAACGCCTCTATCTAGAGCCAGTGTTTGGGTTACTGTAGAAACAGGGCGGTTCAACATGACGGACCCACAGTGTTGCTGCTAGTAGATCCTCTTAAATGTTACACAGTGGACCTTTAAGGATACAATTGTGAACTAAACATTGACTTCTACCTGACATCTTTAATGATCCAGACTCACTTTAGATCAATCATTAGATTATCTTACCCAGGAGGGCAGCCGGTGTAAAGGGGGTGTTGGAGGTTTGCTGCCAGGTGCTGAGCTGTCACAGTCTTGCCTCTCTGAACCAGGTTCAGGTGGACCAGGTGAGCTGAGGAGGACCTGAGGAGGTGTGTCCCTGCCCGTCTCCATGCCGACCTCCTGCTCCTGGTCGAGGTCAGTTTCCTGTGGCCGGAGGGGGCGCAGCATGCTGAGAGCGTTGCGCGTTTGTCCGTACGCCGCCTCGCTGCTGATAGGCGGCTGGCTCAGGTGTTTCTTGGCCAGAGCCACGTTCATCAGCCCGAACCCTGCTGGGGTCCGCAGGCGAGGCTGTTTAGGCGAGGCGGGGTTGTCCCTTGAATCCTGGGGCGGGTTGGGTCGTTTAGGCGTGAGTGCTGGTGTGAGGATGGGGCTGGGGGTGTTGGGCTCACTGGAAGAGGATGAGGAGTCAAGTCTCTGCGACTGGAAACGTTTGTTGAGCTCCTCAGAGGTGCAGTCCTCCAGCTTGGTCCTGTGCGCCTCCTCCTCTCCCTCCTTACACCCTCCCAGCGCCCCGTCTGAGGAGCCCAGCAGGCTGAAGCTGGGCCGATCTGCACGCTGCATGTCATCGTCAAACAGGGAGCTGCTGTCGTCTGAGGCAGTCAGGTAGGTCTCGCTGCCGGGGCGGCTGAACTCCAGACCGCCTCCTCCTCTTCCCTCACACCCTCCTCCTCCTCCTTCCCCCTCCGATGCAGCACTGGAGAGCACGGAGGAGACGCCACGGGACTCAGGTCCACATGCGTTCTCGCCCAGGCTCTCAGACGCGCTGTCTTCCTCCAGAGTCCGGTCGGATCTCTGCACTTCACCGTCTGTCCCTGAGGACGCTGTGAGCTTACTGTTCTTCTCTGTCAGAGAAAACACAAATCCAACAGCGTTAATATCAATAAAGTGGAGATCATGAAACAAAATCAGTGATTTTCAAAAAACTAAAATCTATTTTAAACATAATATAGTTTTCAATTTGAGCTCAGTTTCATTTTGTATGGTCACATTCCTACCAATCAGCTGATATGCATTAAGAATGAAGTTACATACGAGTTTATTTCTACTTTATTCAAACATAAAGATATAAATTAAAGTCGAGCGTGTAACATTTAGGAGGATTTATTGGCAGAAATTGAATATAATATTCATATAGCCAAAGCAATAATTTAAAAAGTTCCAAAAATGATCAGTAAAACTCATCTCTGATAATCAAAAGCTCTCAATTTACACAAACTTCCTGCAGTTATTGTGTTCACTGTTTGTGTTCATTGTGCAGTTTATCAGCTGTTCTCTACTGTTATTGTTATACATTGAATGTATAAATTGAGAGAGAATTGAATAAAATCTGAAATACTATATCATTATATCATTATATGTGACTAAGTCAGGGGTCGACAGTTGACAGAAAAAGGTCCCTTAAGGAAAAAGGTTGGGAGTCTTATGTAATTCAGTCACTGGGGATTTCCAGATATCCTGTTATTCCCAATGCTCTGGCCCTTCAGTTAAATAAAATCAAAGACGTTTACAATGTTCTAAGTGAGATACAGTTAGTGGTAAAATAGTAATGCAGTGAAAACCTTAACACACAAAGGATATGACCTAATGGCTAAAAAGGTCTTCTGAGTCACTTTCCATTTTCCACTCAAACAAACGTGCCTTCCTGTGTCCTGTTTCCACATCCACGGCTGTGAATCTACGGGGACTCACCAGTTTTGTCTCTGCCCTCGGTCTCTCCCTGGGTGCTCAGGCTCCTCTGGGAAGGTGCTGGTCCAGTGAGGACCTGGGGGTTCTTCCCCCTCACCTGGAAACAGCCAAACGTCAGGCTGCTGAGACGTTGCGCCTCCCCCGGTCTGCAGAGGACTCCTCGACCACCCCCGCACTTCTGCTCAAAGGCTGCAAACACAAACATGTTTGATGTGTGTGTTTGCTTGCACATGCACATAATCAAGCAAATTTTGACATAAAATGACATCTGAATGGATGACTGAAGACATAAAAGGCTCTTACCCTGAACTTGTTTGTGTAACTCCTCAATCTGAGCCTCCTGTTGCTTGTTTGTTTCTCTCAGTGCCGCGTTCTCAACCTCAAACTGAAGAATAAATATGTTTCAACATAAAACTGGGGTATTTTCCAGGGTGAAAGATTTGTACTGTTTTTAAACCCTAAGACTAACTGTGCTTTATGGCAATAAACAAGATACTGGTGACTCTGTCTTACTATCTAGCTTACATTTTCCATTAATATGAATCAGTTTTTTCAACTTTATAACAAATGCTATAAATTATTCACCTCTGACAGCTTTAGCATCACCCATTCCTTGATCTTAGCGGCCTTTTCCTCCACCGTTTTGGCGTCTTGAAGTCGGATCTGTTTCTGGAGAAAGAGAGCAGACAGTTTTGGGACTCATTGTATTTCAATAAGGACAGGAAATCCAAAATGACAGCTGAGAACAAGGATAAAAACACAAGTGCAATGTCCTTATTCGAGGATTACAAGATTACAAGGATCTTTCCACAGTGGCCTGAGAGTTTGGTATGTTTCCATTTGAGTTTGGCTCTCCTTAACTCTTGCTGACATACAGTATAAGATTATTGTCCACATTGCCAGAGCAGCTGCTTTCCAGTTTTTTAGCTCCAATACTGGCTGTTAGCATGCCACATCTTCCCCTACATACATTTGCACTTTGAAAAAACAGACAAAACCACATCCACTGGCACTACATCTGTCACTTTGATGAAATTCTTCACATGCACACGCTCTACCTGCTCCTCCAGCTGCTGCTCCAGCTGGCCGATGACGTCCTCCTTCTCCTGCACCAGGGCCTGCAGCTCCTGGCACCGCTGAAACAATCGCACCTCCGAGTCTCCGGATGGACTGTCTGGAGCTTTCAGCTTCTCCTCCATCCACTGCACCTGGAATCACACACACACACACACACACATACTGTATAAAAACACACATATGTGCACATGGCCACACATATATACACACTTTTGTTTGCATCCTTACCTGCTGGTGAGCGGTGAAGGCCCGTTTTTCTGCATCGATCACCTGTGTCTCCAACTGCTGAATCTGGGAAAAGAAGAGCACAAGATGGTATTTATCTCACATTATTTTAATTTGACCTTTTTTCTTGTGATTTTTTATTTGTTTTATTCCACTAATTTCTTACAATAGGCACAATTCCCACTCTACATAGTAAGATCTGATCCGTCTGATCTAACATTAGTCCTCTATTTCCCCTCAGCTCTTCTTCTGTATACACATGGAGGTGAAATATCAACTCCACTACAGCCCCAAACACAACAGCACCAAATAAAGACAAAGAAAGTGCTGCGTGCAACATCTGAATGAGAACCAGTCGAGATAACGCCGCTGCGCCGGAGAGGAGCAGATGCTTTGCAGCTGGTCTTGAGTATTTATGACTCAAAAGAATGTTTAGAATCACAATCAGGATACTCAGAGTCCACAGATGTATCTTAACATTTATAACATTTATATGGTTTTTCAACATTAACATGAATTATTTCCTTATATATAATATTTCTTTTTTTAAAAGTGGCAGATTTATATCTCATTGCTTCAGCTTGTAGCACAATCTGCTGATAATGGTGCAGTTATACCAATATATACAATATATATATACAGTATGCCGGTATTGATGATCATGGCGATATTTAAAAAATATTAATGTCATGTTAATAATATACATATAATGTTTCTGTTCTCGCTGTACACTCTAGTTGTTCTTTTGTGCACTTCTGTATAGTTATGGCTGCAGACTCTCTATCCACCTCCTTACACTTTTATTCTGAGTGTAATTAATTTACCAAAAAGAGACAAAACACACAATAAAAGTTGATGAATTTGACTGATAGCAATTTTTAAAGATATTGCAATATTATCCTTATCGTGAATTCTTTTGCCAACGACAATCATGGAGTGAAAATCTGATATTCTGACTGTCCCAGTTTGAGTTTTTACATAATTTAAATGAATTATTATCAACTTTTATTGATAGCACAATACAGCAGGACAGGAAATGGGGGGAGAGGTATTACATGTGACAACAGTCATCGGTAAGAAGTGGCGTGTGTTGTAACTATTTACCTAAAAAGGTACTCCACATGGCAATAATCATCAATAACATCAAATATGCTTTAACAGAACATTATTGCAATTATGAAATCAAGAAATTATGATTGAAAATTCTGTCAAAACAATTGTCAGTATACTCACGATATAATTTTCTCACAATGTTTTTAACAAAGACAAATTATAACTGAAAACGATTACTTTATTTCTTTATGAAATTAAAGAATCTTTTTATTTCTGAAGTTGATGACTTGATACAGCAACAAAGTCAAAAGTAGATGGCGCCCTCTGCTGTTTAAAAAGAGTATTCATGGATTTTTCGTGCCACCGATTTTAATCTTCACTTTCGTAATTTAACTGTCTGTCAATGTCTTTACATTCCTTATTGTTTGATTAGCGTGTTTGTTTGCAGTGTTATTTAATGTAAGATTTAATATAAGATCTACATACGCTGTAACATATTTCAATAGAGTCATTCCACTGACTATCTTTAGCTCTGTTTGTGCCAGAAGGTCAGTGCCTTAAAAAATGATCCAGCACACTCCCCTAACTATAAAATGCAGAGCAGACTCCATTGCCAAGAAGAAACTGCCAATTATTTTTGCTAGCGGCTCCATTTGTTTACAACGCTGACACCTACGTCTCAGTGCGGTTTTACTTCTGCAGAAGTGCTGCATGTAGCACCTTCGGCCAGTTACATAAGGACGATGATGAGGTGCCACATCTACAAAGGCACAAGCGGCTCTTTGTGTGCTAAGATCAGAGCAGAGTGTGTGCAACCTGGTAGGAAAGTGTTAAAACTGCAGCAACACCAGAGGTCACACGGCTGCAGCACGCACAGCGTACACACTGGACGCGTGCATGCACAGGGAGGAAGAACCCTGTGGGAATGGAGGAGAGAGATGACTTTATGAGCAACATTCCTCTGAAATTCCTCGGCTCAAAGTGGCGGAAGCAGCAGAGAGACCAGTGTCTTCTGAGGAAAAGTCTCTCAGTGGCTTCATGAAGGAAAGTATGTAGGAATGTCGATGGAAATCCTCCGCGTAGCAACTCCACAGCCAGCACGGTTAGAATATTTTGCTACATGTGCACATACACACGTACAAATTAGAGGAAATTTTTAACAATCCCTTTGGGGGGAAACTGGGCTGACACACCAGACAATCGGATGTGGCTAAAAATAGGACCCTGAAGATAATGAAGGAAGTCATTTATTGTAGAGCAATTATATAAACAGCGAACCGAAGATTCACAGGTTGATCCAGATATAAAAATAAAGTCCACCAGTCACTAAAACAGCAGTGGCTCCTGCAGGAAACTACCTGTGCCGGCACCTGTGTGCAACTACAGAGCCTTTACAGGATTTCTGCAACTTTGCAATAAAATTTCAGACTTTTAATGACGTCTTTAATTCGACTTAGACTGTGATTTAATACAATGACAGAAAACCAGTAGGGCCTAGTTTATTTTGAATTACTTCATTTTTTTCAGTGCTTCTCAGCATTATAGTAATAATTTCTATTTATATAATTAATTATATTGAAACGACCTGAATGCAGCTGAATGAGAAATAAGAAAAACGATGGATGCATTAAAGCATCGGTTCCCAACCTCCACTGGGGGTCGCCAAAGATTCACAGGGGCTCGCAAGTCCTTCTTGATTTTAAGGTGTGCTAGAAAACTTTAAAGATATACACAGTAGGTCTATATATGTAAAGTAAATTGTCTTATAGAACAATGGCGTCAGGGAAAAAAAGCACAGAATTTGTCAGAAATAGAAGATTTATAAAAAATAGATAAAACAGACGGAGAATTGTATAAAAAGTTCCCTAAACTGCTCAAAATTCCTCCAAATCACCCGTTTTACACAAACTTCCTGCAGTTACTGAGTTCAGTTCTGAATATAATATGAAATATCCATAAATATTATGTTTACTAAATGATAGAAAAGGGGTCCCTTGAAGAAAAGGGTTAGGAACCACTGCATTATTAAGAACCAACCACTGTGTAGTGATTTAATGGAATCAGTGGTTGCAGATTGTAACACTCTCACCTAACTCAGGCTGTCTTTGGACAGATATTGGGATATGATTTGTGATTAGTGTGAGATTGATCGATTAATTGCACAGCCCTGCACCCAACCCTCACGTTCCAAGCGTGCAGGAGAAACTATGATTGAGACTGGCATGGCGGCGCTCCAGTTTTCCTCTGCTGCTGTTAACTTCCAGAGACCAGAAGAAGTGGACCCAGCTCAGTCCAAAAGCAGCCACACCCTGCCAGAGCCACTCAGTGTTTCCACCGCACAGCGCTCTAAAGTGGGAACGAGGCCTTTATGCAGCCACAGTTCCACTTGACATTTCAGTGTGATTCTGGAGAGTCTTCTTCTATTATGAGCTCATGTCACTGTATGTCCACGCTTTCTTGTGAGTGTATTTATGTCAGTGGAACCTGAGTGCTTATTTTTCACATTGTTGGTTTTGGAGATATTGAGACCAAATGCTGATTAAAAACTGCACTGAAACAGAAAATCTACCAAAACAGGTCACTTTTGCTTCGAAAAAGCATTTGCCGATGGAACAGTCTTTTATGTTCGGATCAAAAGCAAACATGAAGAAGGTTAATATATCTCACACAAGCGCACACTCACTTTATATAGATCCTCCGCTGAGCCCGCAAACGACAAACCACATGTGGCTCTCTCAATAACAGATATAGCATCTGGCAGAGAACAGCATGTTAATTACAGGGCCATGTATACTGTAGGATAGAGCTGGAGACGACACACACACACACACACACACACACACACACACACATACACACACACACACACCAGACATAACATACAAAAAGCCATACAACACCATGTCTGATGAGGGATATTCTCCTGTGTGTCATGGCGTGCAAGTGTGTAGCTTCCTCTTCATATGTTATAATAGGATGGAATGAGGCCCTGGGTGTGCTGTGTCATATCCTGGTGGTACACACACACACACACCACTCCTGTCTAGTCTGACATACACACACACGACACGTGACCACAACCTCTTGAAACCGCTCTATCACCTCTGCAGTCCCAACTTCCCCCCTTCATGATCCAAACTCCAGGCTCAACTTCCATTCTCTGAATTCCACAACCGGCGCTCTGTGGCCAAACCTCCTCCCTGAACCCATCCACCTGCCCACCTCCGCACGATGCCCTCACCCACCATCGCTCCATTCCGCACCAGGACAGCCACGCTCACAAAGCCCCTTTCGTAGATGTTACGAGATTCAGCATGCTTGACCTAGCAGTTACCAGTTTAATAACCAACACTTGCAAAAAAAAGGAATCTTCAAACAAGCAAAACTGGGGAATTTAGTTTGTATTTTTTGGGTCTAAAAAGAAAAACTAATCTTGTTGGATAAACATGTTTGCATTAAAAGAGTCTTAACTCATAATAAGATATTGGAAGTTAATTATTGAGCCCATTTTAACAGTAACAACAACCATGTATCCATTAAACTATGTCACTTAGTCAGTTTACTCAATGCATAGAAATGGCGTCCCTTGAGGAAAGGAGGCGTTGGGAACTACTTGCCCAATTATTTTTACTCACTCCAGCATACACCATCCTGCTGCCGGTTAAATACAAAGCAACAACAAAGCAGGTCTCCTAATTAAGGCCCAATATTAAAGAAGACCTAACTTTACTTCAGAAATAAGCATGTTTACAGCCTACAAAACACGTTTTGTTTCTATAAATCCAATTTTGCCTTTTTCAGGAAAAACTCTACGGGGGAGAATTTTAATAACTCACCGTTTGGATTTATATTAAGCTTAAGTTATAGCATAAAATCTTTAATTACAGTGTGGCTGTTTCAGCTACCAGGCTTAAAATGGCTCTCAGAAACGTATGGGGTATGCCGTCACGGAACGACGTCCATATTGTAATCATAAAATTGATGGTAAATCCTTACTAAATACCAAAAAACGT